AGTTTGAGATCTGTCATCAGTCACGTCTTTTAAAAATCTGTTTAAACTTGCGTTTGATTTTGTTTTAGATGTTATTGTCTGTTTTCTGCCTCTGTAAAGCACTTTGTGATTTTATCTTGAAAGGTGTTATATAAATAAAATTTTACTTACTTACCTAATTCAGGAGGACTTTTGATTTATGCTCCACCTTCACCTCCGCTCATGGGATATGGGTGATGATCGAAAGAGTAAGGCCCCAAACACAAATGAGTTTCCTCTGTAGAGTGGTTGGGATCAGTCTTGGAGACAGGGTGAGGCGCTCGGGCATCTGGAGGGAGCTTGGAATCGAGTTACTGCTCTTCTGTGTCTACAGAAACCAATTGAGGGATCTGTTAGGATCTCTCCTGAGGTTTTACGCCACAGGAACCAGAACCAACTGGAGAGATTTGGTATCCCTGGCCTGGGAACGCCTCGGGACCCTCCAGGAGTAACAGGGAGAGGGTCTGCCTAACCTGCTGACACTGTGATGAGATCACAGGATGTTCTCTGCACTGAGATCATTTATTGGGTATAACGCTTTCATCGATCGCTGTATGTAAACGACTTTACTTCTTTATAAAGTTTCAAATGTTTTACGCTTCTTAGTGTTTTGGCCCAACATAAATAAATAAAGAATAAATAAATAAACATAAATGTGCTTCCAGGTCCAGCTGTGTTATTGTCTGTTTCATGTGCATGGAGAACACTTTGACTCGTGGCTCAGTCTTCCTCTCAGAACAAAGACGGGAATGTGATTCAGGATCAGCCGCTGGCTTCTGCACGATCAAACGTGGAGTGTGGCGCCCTCTGCAGGATGAATGAATCTGTGCAGAGAAAACTGGTTTTGTATTAATGCAACAATTCAGAAACAAACTCTCAGACCCTGAAAACAGTGTCAGCTTTCATTTGAGCAGGTTTACGTCGATTTGACCCTTTCAACGCTGGCCGTTCAACACTATCACCCAAAGTGCAGAGTTTAAAGAAAAAAGACTCACATTTCAGCCGATTAGTTTGAAGAAAGCTTTGACACTGTAAACCTGTGCAGTGGTGGAAAAGCAGCAACGTCACTGAGGATATAAACAATCATTTGTTTTGTTGCTCTCGTGGGCATCTCCTCTTAATTTTAATGATCATCTCTGTCCTCACAGTACAATTCAATTTTATTTATATAGCGCAAAATCACAACAACAGTCGCCTCAAGGCGCTTTATATTGTGCAGTAGATACAGAGAAAAACCCAACAATCATATGACCCCCTATGAGCA